GTCTGTTTAGTAACTAACACGAATTAGCATTTTAAAATCAAATCTATACAGAACAAAACCAAAGTACCTTATCATCCACCAGAACCAAACGGAGAGCATTCCGAGGATTTATGCAAACAGTAATCATGCGCAGAACCTTCACTCTTATGTGCCAACCCGTAATACAAGGGCGCAAAATCGAAACATCATGGAAGTAAGCCATGGTAAAGGAAACAACTAAAATTGATAACTGGTTATAGATACTTCAATAAGAAATATCGATAATCCGAAAAGACGAAGCAAGAAATCGAAGAGTTTTTTTTTTCTCTGTTTTTTTTTTTAGAAGTAGCAGCGTGAATTAATAAGTGGAATTGGAAGTATATTACAACTAATATAGAAATCAATCTAACGTAACATCGATTACTGAATAATCAATAATTAAATAAAAAGGTTTTTATCCGTTCAGAAGATTTGATGATTGGAAACAGCAACTATCCATATTTCGGCTGTGTAATTATTACAAACCATGCAAGATATGACAACACAAGTCATACATCAAAAATCTGACATAATCTCTACCACAAGCTAATCTACAATATAAAATAATTAGAAAATCTATAAAGTAGTTTAGATAACTTCAACGAATCTAAAGATAAAGACATATTCAAAACTCGAACACAAAAGATAATTGTTACAAAACCCAAATAAATATCTCAACATGACATAATAACATAACACAAGAAGAAGAGATTTTTACAAAAAGATATTAAACCAACAGAAGAGGGTATCCATGTTTATGCACACTACGGAAATAGGGATACAATTCTTGATTTACACCAAGAACATTAAGAATTCTGATCAACAACTTCACCGGCGTCATCACAATCCTCACCTTCTTCAATAGCCCATGTTACCCTAGCTATGAAAACAGACCTGAGAATTAAATTTAATACATTAAACAAAATAATAAATTTGAATCCATAACAAAATCAAACTACATATATAAACACTAAAAAATCACAATAATCATTTACATCATCCTCAAGTCCTTGATCTCCGGTAATGTGGGCTCAAGATATATCTTAGAACAACCAATTCTGGTGGAGATAGAAGGTTCACCTATAGCCACATCAACACAATTTGAATAAGCCCTTTATATATATTATCTATAATAGATTCGACATCAATACACCAAATGCATACCCATGAACTCATCGACTTTCCAGAAACGCAACACACAGAAAACAGGTTGATAACGGAATGAAGCCTGGTAGCCTCGGCTTGTCCACACATTCATAAAATCAGCAGCATAATGACCAAGCGCAAAACATGGCAGCTCCCTACCTCTGTTTTATTAATCACCGTTTCAAAAACACTTAAGATCAGTGACAGTCTTTAAATAAACTCTACATAATCACAAAAAAACCAAGAATAACCATGGACTAAATATAGCACCAAAACAAAATCAAATTCATAGACTTACTTCTGATCCATGAGACGGAAATATAGATAATTGCATGCAGTACTTGCATCATACTCTCCGGGAACATAAGTCATCCTTTTAATTTCAGACACATAGACCACAACTCCACATAAATCTAGCAAACTCACAAAAAGACCACATATCACTACAAATCATACCAATAGAGACATAAGAGGTTTCTAACAACACAGAACAACTAACAAATAAAAAACTAAACATACTTCAAACAATAATAGAAACCAAAAATGAGATTAGCTAATAAAAAGAATGTGACACACCAAAGGGACGATTTGCCTCCAAAAGCCTCCTCTTAATGACAGAATATTTTGCAAACTCAAAAAAATTGGGCGAGTAGAGATCATAAATCAATGTCATCTTTGTATCACTGTGGAACTTGATATGGAAAGGGTGAAGTGTGTTCGGGGTCCTCCGGATCGGAACAGAAACAACAAAGTCAGAAATAGTATACCACGCATCTTCCCTTAACTCCCTCATATCAACGTTATGGAAAGGACCACAACCGATTGTACCCTCAATTTTTGTCCCCTAGGTACATGCAAAACAACAAAAAATCAAATATTTCTTAACACAACTAAACAACGAATCACAAACCAAAGACAAATAATCCTTAAAGATTTATAATAAAATAAGCAAAACTATAAAAATAATCTAGCAGATCCACCCAAAATCAACAAACTAACCGATCAAAAGAAAAAACGACAAAGACACACGCACCTGCTCGTCGGCAAGAAGCATTTCTGTTTTACACCTAAATCCATAGATGCGAACCCTCCAAAGACTCAGAATCTTCACCCGAACGTACTTAAGCGTCCTACCTCGAGAAAGATTAGAAAGGTAGATTTGCTCGGACATCTTTGAACGAAACCACCGCCCAAGACCCTTCAGTTTTCTTTTAGGAATCAGAGAGAGATAGAAAATCTCGAAATAAATGAAACAATTGTTTACAGTGCACATACACGGTGGAAATTGAAATAAGCAGTCATAGCCACAAATTTTTAAATTTAAAAAATATCTTTTTCCTAATAACTATTTAAAACATAAGAACAGCAACAAAATAATATTAATAACTATGTGAATCTCTAGATTATACACAAAACAAACTCACACCATATTAAGATAGATAACGCCAATAAGAATAATTAGAACCATCGCTAATATGATATAATGAGTTAGATCGACATAAATTTTTAAAACAGAATATTAATCATTAACTAAATAAAATATATAGAAGCCAAATAAATAGCAACAAATTCAAATAAAATAATTACTCATCATCAGAGTCTTCAAATATAGGCCCCGATCCAAAATTTGGTACGGTTTGATCAATACCAAACACCAAAGGATATGATCCGTATCTATCAACAGATACATCACTACCCTTAGCAATATAACTAAACAACAAATAGATACTGCTGTAACTCCTAGCTTTGCTTCCAATCTCAGTCCTCTACATCAAAAAAAAAAAAAAAAAAAAAACCCCAAAAATAAGTAGACAATAGAAAACAAACAAATAATTTAGAAAACACGAAGACATCTATAATAATAGGACATAGGATCTAACAAATACGTAAACTACACACAACATACCTCTTTCAAAATATTCGGTCGCAATGAATACTTCAGCCAACTCAAAACCTTTACAAACAAACAAAACAATTAAAATCATACCTTATAGAATGGTAAGATATTCTGATGTCTATATATACAAGTCATGACACATAAGACAATAAGAGAACAAACATACATGCTTACAAAAGCCCACGCGATCCGTAAAACACGACGGAGCAACAACTCTTCTACGCCAATCCCGTGTGGTCTAAAACATCAGAGAAACAAATATATAAATTAAACATAAAACGATTATTACGTTACATAATAAATACACAAGATTCGACAAAATACCTTATTAAAATAAAACATATCATTCGTGCATCTTCGGGAGAAGGAAACACCAGCGGTTACCTAAGCCAACGGTACGAAATAAGAATAACCCGTAACATTTGATTATCGCGAAATATATATACAAAAAACAAAAGCCAAATCATCATTTAAAAGTTAGAAAATTAATATCAAACTAAAACCGATCCACAATAACCAACATATTAGATACAAATAAGAGAAATACCTGTTTCCAATAAACCGACACAAACCGAGATATGAGTTCATCGAGTACCTTCAAAATCACGGTAAGATGAAAATCAAACAATAAGATGTCAAACCTTGTACATAAACTCAAAACTATTTGACAATTTAATTATAAATCAATACTAAAAAATAAAACGCAATAAAATCGCATATAAAAGTATATACGATAACAGGAAGAAACACATAAATGTATATGGGTAAATAAATATAAAAATATACAAATTAAAACTATAGAAGTACCTCCCCAAACCTCGCTCTTTGCTCGTCAACACCACCTTCGTCAGAAAGCTTTGTCGATGGAACCTCCCACGTTATACAAAACTGAAACACACACCAAAAACAACAAATTAGCAAAACAATAAATCATCGAATAATGCAAAAAAATAAAACAAACAACACAAACAATATGCACACGACCTTTAAAGGTCCATAAAAACAATATTTGCATGACAAACAACTCGATTCATCAGAATCGTAGTAGCTATATAAAAAAACCATAACGGTGAAAACTATCTAATGGCCACAGAAAAATAATACCTAATCCTCTGGCCGATCAACAATATATATAGCTTTAAGATTAGGGCAAACACCAATCATTATCTTAAGAAATTTTACTTTTTAATTAGAAACAAAATCAGAAAACTAACAAAAACGAATTTTAACTGCTAAATTATAGAATTATCCAAAAAATTAACAAATAAATTTAAGCTAAGATTCCATAATCATTAAAGTCGAGATATTATGACCTCCATATCCCCAGCGATCATACTATAAAATAAAAAAAATTAAGGGTGATTAAGACTAATCATCACAAAACACGATTAGACTTATATACCCTTAACAACTAAGAACAAAAATTTTCGAATTAAGGGTGTTTAGGACATTATAATAGAGATCAACACACGATTAGACTTATATACCCCTAATTACGAAGAAGGAGAAATTTCGAGAAGAACAATTCATTAAGGGTGTTTAGGACAAATCATTCTAACTTTTAACCACAGGCCTCCAATGCCCTAACTTTCAATATGGTGCGTTTCTACTTCTCAAATAATTATTGTAGAGATATTGTTTGGAATATGCTTTTATTATTGGACACTGTAGATGTAGAAAGTACTCTCCCACTAGATATATTTGGAACATAGTTTATTATTAATTCGAATTTATATTCCAAAAAAATTTAAAGATCCGATTTCAGAATTTCGGGTTAATTTTCTGATTTTAACCCGACCCATTTTCATTTGTACTTCTCTTTTAATAGTATAGAGATAAACGAATGATTATGGCTTTATCTATTTTTCATTTAATATCTATTATAGCATTTTGATCTAACAAATTCTTATATTCATCTCAAGAGTTAAGACTCAGACATTCAATCAATGGTCGCGTCTGTCATTTTACATTAAGAAATCTTGTAACTAAAATTGATAGTGGACCGAAGAAATTACGCATGGTGTCATTTTACATTAAGAAATTACAAATATATGGGCCTAGGCCCATTAAGTTTCCGCTTTAGATTCAAGTGAACAAAATCCCTAAACTTCCCAGTTCCGGCAGTTTTTGTTTTTTTTTTTATCAAGGGCGATTTCGAACTGCCGATGTCGTTCCCAGCCAGATCTTCCGTCGACAGGAATGGCGAAGAGCCACCGGTTAAGAAGAAGAAGACCTCTCAGGTACTCCCACAAACGCCGCAATTGTACCCGATTCTACCACTTCCCGATGATTTGGTATTGAGCTGCCTAGCACGCGTCTCGAGATCGTATTATCCAACTCTCTCCCTCGTCAACAAGAGTTTCCGCTCGCTTCTTGCTTCTCCGGAGCTTTACGAGACTCGGTCAATCTTAGGTCGCACGGAGAGCTGTCTCTATGTGTGCTTAAGGCTCCCTCCTGACTTTAACACAAGTTGGTTCATTCTCTGCCGGAGACCGAATCGCACCCAGAAGAAGAAGAAGAAGAATTCAAATGGAAGTCTTTTGATCCCAATCCCATCTCTGCAATCTCCTCCTGCGCACTCGTCCGGTCTCGTGGCGGTTGGTTCCAATATCTACAACATTGGTGGTGGACCCATGGAGGATACGCCTTCGTCTACCGTCTCAGTCTTGGACTGCAAGTCTCACGCGTGGTGCGAGGCTCCAAACATGCTGGTGGAGCGGAAACATCCAGCTTCCAATGTTGTTGATGGAAAGATATATGTAGCAGGAGGATGTGAAGAGTGCAATTCCTCCAATTGGATGGAGGTTTTCGATTCAAAAACCCAAACTTGGGAGCTTGTGTCTTGCCCTCTTGCAGAGCAATGCGAAAGTCGTATAGACAAGAGTGCAGTAGTTGAAGGAGAGATATTCATGCTTGGGGATAAGGGTGTGGCTTACAAGCCAAACGAAGATAGATGGGAAGCGATAGGACCCCTGAGTGATTTTGATTTGGGATGGGGATGGCTTTCTTATTCCGTGATAGATAATGTACTATTTTGTTATAGGAATCTAGATGGAATCACATGGTACGACTCTAAGATAGGAAACTGGTTAAATTTGAAGGGTTTGAAAGGACTACCTAAGTTTGCTGATTATAGTCGTGTTAAATTGGCGGATCATGGTGGAAAGATGGCTATTTTGTGGGACAAGTATGTTCCTTCTAGTGGCTATGAGAACAAGATGATTTGGTGTGCGGTGATTGCGCTTGAAAGGCACAACAGTCAAGAGATTTGGGGGAGGGTTGAGTGGCTTGATGCTGTGCTTACTGTCCCTAAGACTTATAAATTTGTGTGCGCTCTTTCTGTTACTGTTTGATGAATTGACTCAGTTGTGAATCTTGCTTGGCGCAGGTAGAAGATTAGTTTTAGGTTGCATCGGGCAGCAAATGCTTAAAGCTTAGCAATATTTCGTGCTGTGAGACGACTATAACCAAATTTCGTACTAGTTTCTGCTTTGGTTTTAAGAAAGGGTTCTCTTTACATTCTTAGGAAGAAGTGTTAGAGGATGATGTACTATTGAAGAGAGTTTGGTTGTGTAGTTCACAGAACTCTTTGTAATTTGCAAAGCCGTTGCTTGCTTAAATGATTATGACTTTTGGTGTTTTTATTTACTATCAGAGGAAAGAAGACGAACCCTTATTTATAGCTTTTGATCTAACAAAGTTTTTGATTCAGTCCATCTTCAGACTGCATCATCCATGCCATGGTAAGCATCAACGAGACTTGCTTTAGTTCCTCAGTCTAGAAAGAGGTATGTGATGAATCATGAAATCAAATTTAGGATATGAGGCCCATTGAGATAAAAGTAAAGGATTTTGATTCCAATTTCTGAATTGGGCCTACAATTTAATTAGCCCTTAAAAGATTTGTGGAAAATTCTCACGCCAAATCTTAGCGATTAAAGCAGACACGCCTCGGTAGTGAACTGAAGTCAAAATCCCTAACTTTTGTCCTTGCTGTCGGAAAAGAATCCAGAGGTTGTTGATCAATATCGCCAATGTCGTCCCCAGAGAAGAAGAGGAAGAGGAGGAAGACGACGAAGAAGCCATCGCCGACGCCGCAATCGACGACCCCAAATCCTTCACTTCCAGATGATTTGGTATTGAGCTGCTTAGCACGTGTCTCGAGATTGGACTACACAACTCTCTCCCTCGTCTCCAAGAGTTTCCGCTCGCTCGTTGCTTCACCGGAGCTTTACAAGATCCGGTCCTCTTTAGGCCGCACCGAGGGTTGTCTCTATGTGTGTTTGCAGGAGAAAGATTCTGACCCGAACCCTCGTTGGTTCACTCTCTGCCGGAAACCTAATCGAACTCTAACCAATGACATCACTGATAAGAAGAGGAAGAAGAAGTCAAGTGGGTATGCTTTGGCTGCAATCCCAGTTCTCTATTCTCGTCCTGCGCACTGGTCTGGTCTCGTTGCCGTTGGTTCTAATATCTACAACATTGGCGGACCCACCGACAAAGAACACTCGTCTATCGTCTCGATCCTGGACTGCCAGTCTCACACGTGGGGCGAGGCTCCAAGCATGAGAGTAGAGCGGAGGTATCCGGCGGCCAATGTTCTTGATGGAAAGATATATGTAACAGGAGGCTGCAAAGACTGCAGCAATCCCTCCAACTGGATGGAGGTTTTCGATCCTAAAACCCAAACTTGGGAGCCTGTCTCCAGCCCTGGCGCGGAGATTGGTGGTTGTAGCATGCATAAAAGCGCAGTGGTTGAAGGAGAAATCTTGTTTGCAAACTCTCATGGTTTGATTTACCAACCCAAGGAAGGTAGATGGAAAAGGATGGAATGGGACATGGATATAGGTTGGGTGTGGTATTCTTATTGCGTTGTTGAGGATGTGCTTTACTATTATTACAAGGGAGACTTCAAATGGTATGACACTAAGGCAAGACTCTGGAGGAATTTGAAGGGTGTGAAAGGACTGCCCAGGTTTGCCAGATGTGGTGGAAAGATGGTGGATTATGGTGGAAAGATGGCGGTTTTCTGGGACAAGATTGTGACTTCCGATGGATGCAAGAACAAGATGATTTTGTGCGCGGTGATTGCCCTTGAAAGGCGCAACAGCGAAGAGATTTGGGGGAAGGTCGAGTGGCATGACGCAGTTCTTACCGTTCCCATTTCATATGACGTCGTGTATGCTCTTTCCCCTACCGTTTGATGAGACAGACTTGAATGAATGTGGTGAATCTTTATTGTTTGTGTATTGTATCATTTTGTTGGATGGTTGTGTCTTTGTGTTTTAGACATCATTTCACTTGTAAACCTTTGATGCTTAGTTTATTTTGTGCTGCTAAAGACCAATGTGACACTGTTTTGGTTGAATAGTTTTGATTGAAGAGTTTTTGGTCTGTTTCTTGATGACCCATTGATGAATAGAAAATTGGGCTTCTTCTTACCATCTAATTATAAAATGCAAATGACTCCTTTTCCTTCTTTTTGCTCAAGAGGAAAAGAAGACAATGTGATGAAACAGAGTATTATTCATTTCTATACACAATACTCAAAATTAGGCACAAATAAGCTGAACGCGTAAATTTATGAGATGTTGCACGGAAACATATCATTCTGGAACTAGAAGCCATCTGGTCTGGCCATACCGTCTTCTTTGTCTAAATAGCTCCGAACTTGCTCAAAGGCCTGATGATGAATTACGCAGTTGAGCTTTCATTAAACAAATGAACTCCAATGTACACACCTGAATAGAAACAGAGAGATTCTGAGACTTACCTCCATGGCTATTTCAGTTGGTGTAAGATCTGAGACACTTCTATAACCGAGCTTTAATGTAATATCTGAACAATTCGAGTAAACTAGTCAGAAATCAATATGGCTGAGATTGTGTAAAGAAGCTATAAAACGTGAAAGTTGGAAAGGATCATACTCTCCAAGGAAACTCTTGCGCTGGCGTTAGTGTATGCTTCACCACGTGCATCCCAAATCGTTGAAAGACGGTTTAAAGCCTATGTGAAGTCACAAATGATCAGAAGCACAGAGAAAGATTAAAGTCTTTTTTACTTAACAATGGTAGCACTACCGCTGTGTATGTGTCCCCTGACTCATCATCATGTAACAATGGTCTTGAACCAGTTCCTACAGCAGCGATTCTATGCGCCAACGCTTTTAGAGGTACATCAAGCCAAATGCTAATACCTTTATGCATGTACTTCCTGAATACAAAATTGGACACATTATTACCAAATGATCCGAGATTTATATTATAGATCATTGATGAGAAGAAAACGCACCAATTGATGGGTCGTATTACTGCCCCTCCCCCGGTTGAAACAACAACTTGGTTGTACATCAAAGAGAGTTTCTTTAAAGCTTCCGTCTAGGAATAAAGCATGTGAAAAAATGAGCAACAGACTACACAAAGAAAGGCTGGAGAAAAGCTCAATACAATAGGACTTAGGGGAAGAAGTGCATAAAACCAACCTCTTTTTCTCTGAAGACACTCTCGCCGAAATGCTCAAATATCTCAGCTACAGAAGTTCCATTCATAGCCTGCTCGATCAAAGTATCACTGGCACATTTACAAAACAATGTTTAAGCTCAGCTAAAATTCAACAGACACGAAGTTGAAAATGGGCAGATAATATACCAATCAAAGAATGTATAACCAAGTGCTCTTGCCATTATCTTCCCTACTGTCGTCTTCCCGGAACCCATCATTCCTAACGCATTCACGAGGAAACTGTTATATTACCAGGACACACGAGAATCTAAACAATACTCAAATAAGGATATAAGACATAGACACTGACCAACAAGATACATAGATCGTCCATTTAAATATGGTTTAACCTCTTCAGCTTTTTTCTGCAAAAGCTAACGTAATCCACTGTCTGTCAACACAAGATATATATATAGGAGCAAGGTAGAAGATTACAAAACAACATCTTAATCCATTTCTTGATGTAATAGAAGAGTATTAACTTGCCTTCAAAATCTGTTCTTCATCAAATGGAGAATGAAGAAGACTTCCAGTATCCAACAATGCTACAAAATAAAAAAAATGGAGGAAACAAATCTCCTTGTCATCAAAATAGACACAATCAAAATCATATCGAAAGATTCATGCTTTTTGTTAGAACCTGAGGAGTTCTTATCAGAAACTGATCTTTGTCGATGATCCCTTCTTTTGTCAAGAGCTAAAGCAACAACTCTAAGCCTTTTATCTTCCTTAGTTCGCTGTGTATACCTCAAAGAACCACGAGTCTTTCCTTCAAAATTTCTCAAATCAGTCCATGATGAGTACTGAAACATCTGAACAGTAGCTGCTTCCATATTCTGTAAATGCACAATACAAGAATTCAGCAAAATCCGTTACTCATCTTCAAGGCCAAATAGCATCAATGGAACCATTTCCTTTAAGCTAGAAAAATGGATTTAAAATGAAAACACAATTTTCTGAAGTTGACACTTTTGAAGAAACTTTGTGAATAAATAATTAAAAAAAGAAAGAGATTAAGGGCTAATAACAACTCCAAATTCTGACAATCAATGCAAAGACAAATGAAATCGGAGAATGTATAAAGGTTTCACCTTTTTCCCGACGGCGGAGCTTGAGAGGCAGAGACTCTCTCTCTCTCAACTTACACTTTTCCTATTGGCGTAAAATAGTTTTTAGATTTTTGATGTATTTATTTATATTCTCTGTCATTGTATGCTTAAGGGGGTTGGTGAAATTTCCTAAATTATCTGTTAATTACTTAATTTATGCCAAGTCAATAATTAAATATTTAATTGATGATAATAAGACAATTACAAGTCCAAATAAAATGTTAGTGGAAAAAGTGTAACGTGTTTTATAACTAAGAAATCTTGCTTAGGATATGTGACAACTGTCCATATTGTGAGTATCTCAAATGATCTTGATTCGTATTCTTTCCAATGTTTATAGATTTAAATGGATAGAATTTCTATGTAAGAAAATGATAAAATTCCCATGTAAAAAGGATAGAATTTCTAAAGGATATATATAGAACATATTTATTTACTATTTTACAAATTTTAAGATTTATTAGTAGAATGATGTATAAAATAAGAATATTTTGTGTCGTCTAAATAGGAATATTGAGAAAATGTAATTTGGTAGGTGAAACGTGGAATTAAAATTCAATATATGTTGCTAAAGGATGGCCCACCGAATATACATGTCGGGCCATCAAAATCTACCGTTCTTGTTTCTCGACCAACCAACCAAAAAACTTGAATCATTCGGGCCGATATCATCAGACTCCTGTCGTTTCGATGTTTAGTTGTATAACTGTTTGCCGTTTTTATATATCAGTCCCACCATTTTTTCCTTGCTTATGACAAAAAACGGCAGAATGTTTATTCGTTGCAGCACGCACTGTTCTTCTCTCTCATCAGTAGGATGAGAAGCTATCGCAGTTGGCGTCAAGTGCAAGAAACGATACGTTTATACTCTTCGTCTTCTTCTTCTACTTCAGCTCTTTTGGAATTTGTAAACGCAGAATTTCCTTCTACAATAGGAATTCGAGGAAGACGCGAATTTGCTCGTCTCTTGCAGCTGCGTGCGTTAGATGATCCGTTGCTTTATCACAATGTAGTTCATGGTCAGATTATTGTTTCAGGTCTTGAGTTAGATACGTATCTTAGCAACATTTTGATGAATTTGTATTCGAGAGCTGGTGGTATGGTTTATGCACGTAAGGTGTTTGAGAAAATGCCTGAGAGAAACTTGGTTACTTGGTCTACCATGGTTTCAGCTTGCAACCATCATGGGTTTTACGAGGAGTCTTTGGTGGTTTTCTTAGACTTCTGGAGAACTAGAAAAAACAGTCCGAATGAATATATTTTGTCGAGTTTTATTCAAGCTTGTTCGGGATTAGATGGTAGTGGGCGTTGGATGGTGTTTCAACTGCAAAGTTTTCTTGTCAAGAGTAGGTTTGATAGGGATGTTTATGTTGGTACCTTGTTGATTGATTTTTATTTAAAGGAAGGTAATATCGATTATGCGAGGCTTGTGTTTGATGCTTTACCAGAGAAATCTACTGTGACTTGGACGACAATGATCAGTGGGTGTGTAAAAATGGGAAGAAGCTACGTTTCATTACAGCTATTCTACCAACTAATGGAAGGAAATGTTGTTCCGGATGGTTACATCCTTTCGACGGTTTTAAGTGCGTGTTCAATACTTCCGTTTCTTGAAGGCGGGAAGCAGATTCATGCGCACATCTTAAGATACGGACATGAAAAGGATGCCTCACTGATGAATGTGCTTATAGATTCTTATGTGAAGTGTGGCAGAGTTAGAGCGGCTCATAAGCTATTCGATGGAATGCCAAATAAAAACATCATTTCGTGGACCACTTTACTGTCTGGTTATAAGCAGAACTCTCTTCATAAAGAAGCCATGGAATTGTTTACCAGTATGCCAAAGTTTGGTTTAAAGCCGGATATGTTTGCTTGTTCTAGCATACTCACATCTTGTGCCTCACTTCATGCTTTGGAATTTGGAACACAAGTTCATGCTTACACTATCAAAGCCAATCTTGGCAATGATAGCTATGTGACTAACAGCTTGATTGACATGTATGCGAAATGTGATTGTTTGACTGAGGCCAGAAAAGTTTTTGATATTTTCGCTGCTGATGATGTGGTTTTATTCAATGCAATGATTGAAGGTTACTCGAGACTTGGGACTCAATGGGAACTACATGACGCATTGAACATCTTTCATGATATGAGGTTCAGATTGATTCGACCTAGCCTATTGACTTTTGTTAGCCTTCTACGTGCATCTGCTTCTTTAACAAGCTTGGGACTGAGTAAACAAATCCATGGATTGATGTTCAAATTTGGGTTAAACTTGGATATATTTGCTGGAAGCGCTTTGATTGCTGTTTACTCAAATTGCTACTGTCTCAAGGATTCTAGGCTTGTGTTTGATGAAATGAAAGTGAAAGATCTTGTTATCTGGAATTCTATGTTTTCAGGTTATGTTCAACAATCAGAGAACGAAGAAGCTCTCAACCTGTTTCTGGAATTACAGTTATCAAGAGACAGACCTGACGAATTCACTTTTGTGGACATGGTTACAGCAGCTGGCAACCTAGCAAGTCTTCAATTGGGTCAAGAGTTCCATTGCCAGCTCCTGAAAAGAGGCTTGGAATGTAATCCGTATATTACAAATGCTCTACTAGATATGTACGCCAAATGTGGTAGTCCCGAAGACGCTCATAAGGCTTTTGATTCAGCAGCTTCAAGAGATGTGGTTTGTTGGAATTCTGTCATCTCATCTTATGCGAATCATGGAGAAGGTAGAAAAGCTCTTCAAATGCTTGAAAAAATGATGTGTGAGGGAATAGAGCCTAACTACATCACCTTTGTGGGAGTTCTATCAGCGTGTAGCCATGCTGGTCTTGTAGAAGATGGACTTAAGCAATTTGAGTTAATGCTGCGATTTGGAATTGAACCTGAAACTGAGCACTATGTTTGTATGGTATCTCTTTTAGGCCGTGCTGGTAGATTGAACGAAGCAAGGGAGTTAATTGAGAAAATGCCGACAAAACCAGCTGCTATAGTATGGAGGAGCTTACTGAGCGGATGCGCAAAGGCCGGTAATGTCGAGTTAGCTGAGTATGCTGCTGAAATGGCTATTTTGTCTGATCCAAAGGACAGTGGATCGTTTACTTTGCTTTCTAATATTTACGCGTCCAAGGGTATGTGGACTGATGCAAAGAAGGTAAGAGAAAGAATGAAGTTTGAAGGTGTGGTGAAAGAACCTGGACGTAGTTGGATTGAGATTAATAAGGAGGTTCATATCTTTTTGTCTAAGGATAAATCTCACTGCAAGGCTAATCAAATTTATGAAGTGTTAGACGACTTGCTTGTGCAGATCAGAGGAGTTAGTTAACTACCATACAAGAACTCATTTTCTATTGGAGTGATTGACTCTATTTGGTTAAAGACCAATGCAGTCAGATTTGTTCGGAATTCGGATCGGTGATCCTAAAGAGGGATCAGCTCGATTGGATCAATGAAGAAGAGTTATATCTCTATGTTAATGGAGTTGCAGCATATGAAGCTTATCAATGATGGTAGAAGAAGCAGATGTGAACTTCTTACAATCAGAAGCAAAAACAATAAGACCAGAAAGATTGAACCAGAAATCGAGAAGCCTAGCAAGCAAATGATACGAGTAAGCAATGGTCAATCTCCTTGGCGGGTAAAAAAAATTGTCATCCCAGGTTCTGGACAGGAGATTCCTGCTAAGACCAGCACGCGTTGTAGCTCTTCTTGATTTGTCTTGTTACAAGCAAGGTTCATTTTTTTTTTTTTTTTTTTTTTTTTTTTTTGAAAACACAAGGTTAATTTTTTTTTCTCCTGAAATTTGGTGATAGAGAATGCTACTTTCATTGTATATTCTTTTGGGATCTGGCTTGTTTGCTGGTTCATTAAACATTGGTGTGCAATTGGACACCGATAGAAAAAATTATTGGAACAATAGCTTTTGATTGAAATGAAACAACAGTCTTTGAGAGTTATATCAGCTTCAAGCTGTCTCAGTAGTCTTCAAACAGTTCTCAGCTATTTCTACTTCTTTACTTCTATCAGAAAGTCTCTTGATAAGTTGGTGACAATCGACTGTTGTGACCATAACGGTTAAGCTAGCCTTGCCCTTCCAGCATCCAAAGGCTATTGTTGATGTTTTCACTTTGACTGGTTCTGACCCGAGCTGAGTATCTGTAGGAAGAAAAACTCGTTAAAAAACATATCCCACATGACCAACCAAAAGTTTTCTACAGCAGCTGATCTCTATGAGTCTATAAAAGGGAAGACACGAAAATGAATCAATGTCGTCGGGCTTCCTTCTTACGCTTTGTTGCATACATTGCTTAGCTCTCTATTAAAGCTGGTGCTTCCTGAAAAGTAGAAGACTCTCCATTCCCAAACGTTGCTACAAGAATCATGAACAAGTGCAGAATTTTGTGCTTCAGCATCGGTCATGTGGCTAGTGACTCAAAACACTTTTTTTAACTAAAATTTTTTGATTAACCAAAATGTTTTTATTCTTCAAAAATCTGTGTTAAATTTAAATATGTTGAAAACAAATTATATATGAGTCTTCAGGCTTTAAGCTCTATATGAGTCTTCCCATGGTAGCTGGTGAGATGGGGACTCATGTAGAGCTCATGGAGGTGTCAGAACATGATCTTTGTAAACAGATTAAGAGGATACAAAAGAAACAAAACTGAAGAGATCAAGTTTGGTTTCGAGCAACCCCATTGAATATCACTGCCCTTTAAAGTCATTTGTGGTACAGAGAGCATATGTTCATCACCTCTTCCTTGACCTTGCAACTGATGTTTTTGAAGGTAGAGAAGATATTGTGTTGTTATTTTGTTGTTCTTCTTCTTCTTGGCCTGCAGATATCCCACATTATCGGGTTGTGAGGGCCTTACTGTTTTTGGAATGGGATTCTCTGAAGGAGCTCTGATTCTACATAAGCTGATCATGTTTTGGGATCAACCTGAAGCGCTTCACACAACAGGTTATGAGATTTTGATGGATTTGCTCTACGGGTTAGGAGCTTTGGTTTATGCAACTAGGATTCCAGAGAGATGGATGCTGGGAAAATTCGATATAGCAGGACATAGCCATCAGTTGTTTCATGTTCTGGTAGTTGCTGGTGCGTTCACCACACACTATAGAGCTGGGCTTGTGTATCTTAAGTGGAGAGACATTGAAGGATGTTGAAGATGAAGATTGAAGATTAGATGGAATCTTGGTGATGTTTTGAATCTTGTTTGTAGCTTCATATAAAAATTGGATTATGTAAAGTCTTATGTTTAATATTTTCCTTTTAATAAACAAAGGATTCGTATCGAACATATGACTAGTTACAGAAGCTGAAGAAGAATGTTGTAACAAGTTAGGGTGTGTGAAAGTGAAACCATAAAGGGCTGTGTCTTGCTAGAGAATGTATATGACAAAGGCCTTGTTTGTTTCATCATTTGGCATTTGCATCCAAATGATCTATCCAAATGGATCATTTGGATGATGCATCTGAATGATGTTTGTTTGATCATTTTGGTAGTTCATCTTAATGATCCATTTAAATGGACCTTTGTTTGTTTGATCATTTGGTAATTCATCCACATCTTCATCTAAACGAAAATGACTAAAATACCCATGCATTTAACTAGACTTATAAAACCAACCAAACAACCAACGTCACTACTTTAGTGAAATACAACATTCATAATGTAAGATTAGAGACATAATAATCAAAGTAGTGTCTTAAAACAGAGCAAGAAGAGATTGGTTTTGTTCCTCGATTTGCTTAATCTAGATAGAGACTTTACCAAACAAGTATTTGCTTCTCGATTCAAACCCAACTCCTGAAAGAACAAGTCAAGCATCATCAAATCCAGCAACAAAATCAAAACTTAGAAAACACATCAACCTATAGCTATGTGTGTGCACTATTGCATAAGAAACGAAAAAGAGTAAAACTCCTTAAACCATGGATAAACAATTACCTTCATAAGGTGATTGTGTAGGACCAAGAATCATAACGTTGAAATACCGGGAGCTGCAGCAATCAATTGAACAAAACTCAGTTAAAATCATATTTAAGACCTGAAAACAAAGACATGAATCATAAACTAATTACTGCTTAAGTACACAAACCTGTTAATATGGAAGTCTTGTTCCTTCAGCCATCTCTGTAGTGATAGAATCCCGCATATCCTCCATAATTCTGTCACCAGAAGGTACATATGGAACATGCACATCATTTTCATCACCATGCTGCTCATATGATTCCACCATTTCCCAATGTCTAAAATCACTATCTTCTTGCTGTGAATCTCGGATAAAATTATCCCATGACTGAACACTTTCCCTAATCACTTCTGCTACAGCTTCTCCTCCTTCTTGTACAGACCTTGATCTTTTTTTACTAGCCCTTGACCTATTAGAAGATGAGGGAGCAGAGCCAATATTGGAAGATGAGGGACCTGCATGGTTATTGACTTGAGTAGGTGCATGTTCAATTGTCACTGTCTGCAGATTCTATCAAAGATACATAGGAGATTGATGTTTAAAGCTTTTGTCCTACATCTATTGCAGAACTCTACAATATGAGCAGCTTATCATAGTTAGAAAGACTGACTGGCTTTTAAAATAATTGGTAGAAACAAGACTCACTAACCTCAAGATCTGCAACTTAAACTAGTCAAAAAAATTAAATGAATGACGTCTATTACTATTGCTGTGAACTAAAGCAATACAAATTACAAGCTCTAAACAAAAATAATCTACACAAATTCTCAGTGTTATAGGTTTCAAGCAAACATCACTAGAATAAGATTTGAAAAAAGCACACATTCAATTTAGCACATTGAAAGGCACTCAATCTTGCGATTGATCTATGATTCAACTAATGTTCTGCGATTTAGAAACACGAAATCAAACAAAGCCACAACACTCATCTCCATTGGTACACATAAACTCAATACAAAATCATGAATTAGAGATATATCATACCTCTCAAACAGTGGTTGCAGCGATTTCAATCCGTAACACCTGAAACCCACTTTGAGATTTCAATGACTAAAGGAGAAATCGAATCCAATAATCAAACCCATGAGTCTTACCTCTCAAACAATGGCCGCAGCTAATTCAATCTGTAACACCTTAAACCCACGCACGAGAGATAGAAGAAGAGATCCGGCGAAGAGATCAAAGAGGAGTGGAGTAGAGTGAGAAGGTCAAAGAGGAGTGGATTCCGGCGAGAGATCCGGCCGGTGAGAGATCCGGCGACGAAGAGATCTCGTTTCTCTCTGTGCCGAAGAACGTCTCTCTGTGTCGAGGAATGAAGGAGAAGAAGGTTTAGGTTTTTGGTGTAATTCTCTAAATTAGGTAAGGGTATTTAGGTCATTTTATATTTTGGACTGAATCAGCTCCAGTTAACTGCTCCTATCAGACTCAGCTGGATTAAGATCATTTTTTAGATCATCTGAATGGAGAAACGAACAGCACCAAAGGAAGAAAAGGCTGTTGTGAACCTCACGCAAGCCTTATTAGTACCATTGTGGTTGGGTCTGATCAAAGTGTTGAAGTTTCTTGGTCTGGATCTCGTACATCATCTTCTTGTCAGCTGAAATGTCAGACAATGAATACAAGGTTATGGTAGTCTTGGATCATTTTCATCACAGAGGATACTTTGGTTCTGATCTTCTTGAAGGTTTCACTTTCACCTGACTTTGCAGCCTCTGACCTCTGTTTCAACAAATAAGAAACTTCAAATAATTTACCTTTTGATAAATTGTTACGCACTAAGAGGCAAATATGACCGTTGTGAGCAAATCTCTGTTTCAACAAATAATAATCTCACGCACTAAGAGATAATTATATGACCGTTGTGAACAAATTTCCATTTATTTATCTTAACCTCGTCGGGAAAAAAAAAAAAAGGAAACAATCGAAAATTTCCTTTTTCTTCAAAAAACCTTTGCTTATAAAAACTCTCACACTCATATCCTCTTCCTCGAGAAATCAAAACTCTCGATTCTTCTTCTTCTTCTTCGATACTACAAAATATATCCATCTTTCATCTTTTTCCTTTTTAAATTCTCTGTGAATTTCTTACCGAGAAGATCACCGATGATGATCCATTCCAACATTCTCTCTTCAAAGAAGTTCATTCTTCATCTCAGAACCTATCCGTAAGATTTGATTCGAGAAAAGCATCTCTTCTTATCTCGTGATTTCAGTTCGGGTCTCTCTTAATTTCACCGTTCATGTTGAATGTTGATCTGTTACCATGGATGCTTCTTACGCGATTCTCACCGGAGAATTTTGGCGACTGAGAACGAGGACTATGTAGCAGATTCGAATTTCGATGGAGTCGCCTGAAGATGCATGAAGAAGAAGATCAAAACAGAGTTTCGTGGCTTTCTTCGACAAGGAGACGGTGCAGTGAAGGTTAACTAATGGGCCTTGGCAATTGGGCTTTTCGTACTCCTCACTACCCAAATCCAAACCAGGTATTAACACTTTCTTTACTCTTTTGTTTTTAAAGGTCTTTTTTTTTACACATAATGTTTTTTAGTAAATTTTTTTTTTTAAATAATGATTTTTACTAAAATTTAAAACATAAACTTAAAAAATAAAACAAGAAAATTTCATTAAAGTTTTTTAAAAATTAGTTTAAGTGTTAAATTTTAAACACGTCGAAAACTAACCGCGCCTAGACATCCCGTCCTTAGTTGGTCGGTAAGTTTTGGTGTTCGAAGTTCAGCAATGTTTTCACGTAATAAAGATTTGACACTTAAAATTTTTTTTAAAAAATAATAATGATTTTCATTAAAATTTAAAACAAATTTAACACTTAAACTTTAAGAATAAAACCATCGAAATTTCATTAAAAAAATTTAAAAATTAATTTAAGTGTTAAATTTTAAATACGTCGAAAACTAACTGCGCTTAGACATCATGTCCTTAGTTGGTCCGTAAGCTTTGGTGTTCGAAATTCGGCAATATTTTCACTTAATATGGATTTAACACTTAAACTCATTTTTAAAAAAAATAATGATTTTCACTAAAATTTTTAAAATCCATGAAATTTCATTAAAACTTTTTAAAAATTAGTTTATGTGTTAAATTATAAACACGTTAAAAACTAACCGTGCCTACGCATCATGTCCTTAGTTGGTCCGTAAGCTTTGCTGTTCGAAGTTCGGCAATGCATTCATGTAATAGATTTAACACTTAAAACTCATTAAAAAAAAAAAAAAATTCACTAAAATTTAAAACAAATTTAACATTTAAAATTTAAGGATAAAACCATAAAATTTCATTTTAAAACTAGTTTAAGTGTTAAATTTAAAACACGTCGAAAACTAACCGCGCCTAGGCATCCTGTCCTTAGTTGGTCCGTAAGCTTTGGTGTTCGAAGTTCAGCAATGTTTTCACGTAATAAAGATTTGTCACTTAAACTTTTTTTAAAAAAATAATACTGATTTTCATTAAAATTTAAAACAAATTTAACACTTAAACTTTAAGAATAAAACCATCAAAATTTCATTAAAAAAATTTAAAAATTAATTTAAGTGTTAAATTTTAAATACGTCGAAAACTAACCGCGCTTAGACATCTTGTCCTTAGTTGGTCCGTAAGCTTTGGTGTTCGAAGTTCGGCAATGTTTTCACGTAATATGGATTTAACACATAAACTCATTTAAAAAAATAATGATTTTCACTAAAAATTTTAAAAACCATGAAATTTCATTAAAACTTTTTAAAAATTAGTTTCTGTGTTAAATTTTAAACACGTTAAAAACTAACCGCGCCTAGGCATCCTGTCCTTAGTTGGTCCGTAAGCTTTGATGTTCGAAGTTCGGCAATGTATTCACGTAATAGATTTAACACTTAAAACTAATTTTTAAAAAATAATAATAATTTTCAATAAAATTTAAAACAAATTTAACATTTAAAATTTAAGGATAAAACCATGAAATTTCATTAAAACTTTTTAAAAACTAGTTTAAGTGTTAAATTTAAAATACGTCGAAAACTAACCGCGCCTAGGCATCATGTCCTTAGTTGGTCCGTAAGCTTTGGTGTTCGAAGTTCGGAAATGTTTTCACGTAATAAAGATTTAACACTTAAACTCATTTAAAAAAATAATAATGATTTTCACTAAAATTCTAAAAAAATTTAACACTTAAGCTTTAAGAATAAAACCATCAAAATTTCATTAAAAAAAATTTAAAAATTAATTTAAGTGTTAAATTTTAAACACGTCGAAAACTAACCGCGCTTAGACATCCTATCCTTATTTGGTCCGTAAGCTTTGGTGTTCGAAGTTCGGCAATGTTTCACGTAATATGGATTTAACACTTAAACTCATTTTAAAAAAAAATAATGATTTCTACAAAAATTTAAAACAAATTTAACCTTTAAATTTTAAGAATAAAACCATGAAATTTCATTAAAATTTTAAAAATTAGTTGAAGTGTTAAATTTTAAACACGTCGAAAACTTACTGCGTCTACTGCATCCTGTTCTTAGTTGGTCCGTAAGCTTTACTGGTCGAAGTTCGGCAATTGTAATCTCGTGGTTATTTTCTTCCAACTATGTGCTGCAGATCAGAGGGGTTAGTTAATTACCATACAAGAACTCATTTTCTATTGGAGTGATTGACTCTATTTGGTTAAAGACCAAAGCACTCAGATTTGTCTGGAATTCGGATAGGTGATCCAAAAGAGGTATCAGCTTGATTGGATCATTGAAACAAGAGTCATGTCTCTATGTTTATGGAGTTGCAGGAGATGAAGCTTATCAAGGATGGTAAAAGAATGTTGGAATCATTCTCTTCTCCCAAAAGATTGAACCAGAGATTGAGAAGCCTAGCAGCAAATACGAGTTAAAGGCGAGCCAAAGAAGAAAGAGTAAGCCATGTTTAATCTCGATTGTGACTCTTCAACATCTCTTCTTCGATTGTGTTTTTTCTAATGAGGCTTCGTCTTTCTTCACATCTAGAGCCCATGTTTCTCCTCCAATTCATTTGGAACATGGTCTTAGATGGATGAAAGACCCATGCCGCAACAAAAACACTTCTCTGATTCTCAAGATTATCTTCCAAGCTTCAATATACTCGATTTGGAAGGAAATAAATTCTAGACTTCACTCTCAGTCTTCTCGTCCCCCGACAAGTTTGATCTTGGACATTTAGAATTCTCTCAGGTGTAAGCTAGACCCTCTATCTAGGGTGCAGCGTTCCGACTCCGTCTCTCTTTTATCTACTTGGTTTGAAATTTTTTAACCTTAGTTTGGTAAGTAGGTAAGAGGTCTGTAAGCTTTATTCTGTTTGTTTTCGTGATTCCTCTGTAACCTTTTATTATTAATGGAAAAAAAAAATGTTTAATCTCGAGAAGAAGCTGAAGGATAGCACAAGAGGTTTTAAGACCCGTATGGTTTATGTTTTAAGTGTCGTTTAATTCTGCTTTAGGACCGGTATGATTTATGCTTTAAGTGTGGTTTAATTTCTATTAAGTCGTAGCTATTGAACTTCTTGTAATTTTCCGTCTAGTCTCCTTACCAATAATTTAATCTTTCTTTTACTTAAAGTCCATATTGTCCTCAATTTATGCAAAAGCACTATGAATTGTCAAAATGTTTTGGGATTATTGTTTAAAATGCCCTTTTTTGGGAAAAACTTACGAAAATGCCCTTTTTTGAATAGTTTACGGATTTTGCCCTTTTTAACACTTAAAAATGTACGTATTTAGGATTTTTTTTCCCAAAAATACGTACTTTATACTAAATACTAAACCCTAAGAACAAATGGAACCGACTAAACCCAAACATAACGAGTGAAACGCATGTTAAATCATATTTTTGGAGCATGAAAAAGGGCAAAATGCATTAACTATTCAAGAAAAGGCAAAATCCACAAATGCCCTTATGAAAAAGGACAAAATCCGTAATTTATTCAAATGTTTTAGAGTGATACGATACCCCTAGGCTTATATATCAGATCAGCCAAAAAGCCTTTCATAAACGAAATAAACAAGAAAACTCGGGCCCAAACAAGAAAGCACAAAGGCTACAATACCGTTAAGAAAGCTTATTTAACCGTATTGTAGCCTTATCTTGTCATATATGCAGCTCAAATAAAATAATTAAGGTCATCAATTATAAATTTGAATTTGTGTATGTCATTTATATAAGTGGATTCATATATAATTTTTGTTATTATAATTAAATTGTTTTTTTCTTTTAAATATTAAACTTTCAACTCTAAAACTAAAAATTTATAATATTCAAATATTAATTTTAATAAAATCAAATTATATAATTCATATTTTTTTGAAACTTAAAAATTGAAAAAACACTCTATAAATTATTATCACTGTAAACTTCAAATCAATTCAAATTGTGCAAAGAAAGTTTTACACCATGGGTCTTCTCTGGACCAATATGTTTTGTGGGCCTTTCAAGCCCAAAAAGAGTTATCTTATTCTCATTCTCTCTCTCTGTCTCTGCCGCCGCCTGGAGAAGAGATGGTGGGATCAGAGGTTTTGGAGGAATCTGGAGAGAAGATCAGCAAGAAAGAGGCATCATCTCTTTCTCTGGAGGAGGATGAATCGTTTTCCAGCAACTACGGTGACGTGACTACTAACGAGTTGCAGTTGGCTGTTGAGGGAAAAGAGCTCACTGATGTGAGCAACTTGGTTGAAGAGATTGTGGGGTCAGAGGTTTCGATCAGAGGTCGAGTGCACAAGAATCGCTTAGTCGGTACCAAATTGTTTGTGATCTTGAGGGAAAGTGGATTCACGGTTCAATGCGTGGTGGAGGAGACCAGAGTTGGTGCAAACATGATTAAATTTGTCAAGCAGCTGAGTCGTGAATCTGTTGTTGAGCTTATCGGTGTCGTCTCTCACCCTAAGAAGCCTCTCACAGGAACCACCCAGCAGGTTGATTGTTTCCTTTGATTGATTCGAATAGCGACACACATTAACTCATCGATAATGTTGTTGCAGGTTGAAATACATGTCAGAAAAATGTACTGCCTCGCAGATCCTTGCTAAATTTACCACTTGTTGTGGAGGATGCTGCTCGTAGTGAATCAGATATTGAAAAATCTGGCAAGGTAGAATAATGTTTTAAGATTTTGAGCTGCTTTATATATTCGTTCATAAGAGAGCTCTTGTTTCCATGATTGATTGTTGCAGGATGGCAAACCAGCTGCTCGTGTCCTTCAGGACACACGTTTGAATAATAGGGTTCTTGACATCAGAACACCGGCTAATCAAGCCATCTTCCGTATTCAGTGCCAAGTCCAAATTGTAAGCCCTGATTTGATATAGTGTCAACTAGGATATTATGATTTGTCATTATCCTAATAGTAATCTGATCGTGTTTGTGTAGGCGTTCAGAGAATTCTTACTATCCAAGGGGTTCTTGAAATCCACACACCGAAATTGATGGCTGGCAGTAGTGAAGGAGGTTCTGCTGTATTTAGGTTGGACTACAAAGGGCAGCCTGCTTGTCTGGCTCAGTCTCCTCAGCTTCATAAGCAGATGGCCATATGTGGTGACATGCGACGCGTCTTTGAGGTTGGTCCTGTTTTCAGAGCTGAAGACTCCTTCACTCATAGACACCTGTGTGAATTCGTTGGTCTTGATGTGGAGATGGAGATTCGAATGCACTACTCTGAGGTATGTATGATTGTGCTAGTGTTAATTGTATTTCATCTCTTCACTAGTGCTAATAATATTTCCTGTTTGGTGCAGATAATGGATCTTGTGGGGGAGTTGTTTCCGTTCATATTCACAAAAATAGAAGAAAGGTGCCCAAAGGAACTTGAATCTGTCAAAAAGCAATACCCTTTTCAATCTTTGAAGGTAATCTATCTTTTGGATTTTTAGGAAAAAACTGAGTTTCTTTTGTGTTGGATGCTGATGATTGGCACTAAACTTGTAGTTTCTTCCGCAAACATTGAGGCTAACCTTTGCAGAAGGGATTCAAATGCTTAAGGTATGACAGGATTTTTTTTGCATCCAACTTGATGAGTTAGACTATGAATAAATAATAGTTGGGTCATCTTGACAGGAAGCTGGCGAGGAGGTTGATCCTCTTGGTGATCTAAATACAGAATCTGAGAGGAAACTTGGCCAGCTTGTTCTGGAAAAGTACAAGACGGAGTTCTACATGCTGCATCGCTATCCATTGGCTGTCAGACCGTTCTACACTATGCCCTATGAAAATGATTCTAACTACAGCAACTCGTTCGATGTCTTCATCAGAGGTGCGTGCATCTATGGGTTTGTCACCCAATTATGTTACTACTACACTTGATTTAATAATACTAAATTTGAGCTTTCTGTCTTATAGGAGAGGAGATCATGTCAGGAGCTCAACGTATCCATGACCCAGAACTCTTGGAGAAGCGCGCAAGAGAATGCTGCATTGATGTCAAGACAATATCCACGTACATTGATGCATTCAGGTAACCACAAACTGATCGATCCAGTTGGGTTCCTACTATGAGTTGAGTTGAGTTGAGTTGACGAATGGCTGCATGTTTACAGGTACGGTGCACCACCTCACGGTGGATTCGGAGTGGGGCTGGAGCGTGTGGTAATGCTCTTATGTGCCCTCAATAACATCCGCAAAACTTCGCTATTCCCTCGTGACTCTCAAAGGCTCACTCCCTAATATCATTGCTCTTCCCTGGCGACTCTCAAAGGCTCGCTCCCTTAATATCTATCTTTGATAATTGTCCCCGCTCCCGATTTCTAAGTTATTTTATTGGTGCAGTTCGTTAGGTGTTTAGTTATCTTTAAACTATTTTTGTGTTGTAAGTAACCTTTAAATTATTAATAAGGAGGCTCATTTTAAATAAGCTTTCTTAACGGTATTGTAGCCTTTTGGCCTTCTTAACGGTATTGTAACCATACGGGTCTTAAGAGAGCAAAGATGCCACATATTTCTTTTTTGTAATCAACGGAATAATCGGTTCGGTTCAAATCCAAAAGAAAAAGAAGACTCAAAATTGACCCCGGTTCAGTTCTTAGTTTCCTCTCATCACATAAACCGTTTTAAGGTTATAAACCGGGTTGAAGGAGAAGTTGTAATGGTGAATGGTATATTGTATATGATTCATTTGAATTTGATTAAACCGATTTTGAAATCAACTAAATCCGAAAACACCAACTCAAAACAGGGTCTATATAACCAAACTAAATTCTAATTCTGTTCTAATTTTTATTAAACCGGAAACCAAATCGGACATAAATGGGCCTAAGATGTAGTTGGGTCAGGCCCGAATTCTAGACAATTCTGCTTAGTTTTCTCTTTTGTCGTAATCAGGTGGCAAAACGAAAACCCTCGGATTCCTCTGCTTCCTTCTCGTCCGTCGTCACTTTCTCTACATCAGAGAGATTCCGGTGTCCTTCTTCCTTTCACTCGCGTTTAACCTCTTTGCCTTGACGTTGTCCCCGTGAGCTCTCTCTGCTTTGACTGCAACCATGTCGACTATTATGCAGAAGATCAAAGAAATTGAAGATGAGGTAAATTTTCAATCCTCCTCGGATTCTTCAATTTTGGATGCATAGAACTGTGAATCCGAAATATCGATTCTGAATCAAAGAAATGTTGAATTGTTTTTTTCTTTTTAATCTGGGTGACTTACAAGTACGAGGGATTTTGTTTATGTGGCAGATGGCTAAAACACAGAAGAATAAAGCTACTTCTCATCATCTGGGTTTGTTAAAGGTAATGTTTTCTCCTTAGAGTTATTGAATTCCAGCTAGGTTAGAATTTTTTTGTTTCTTAGTTCTTGGAATCGTTTTTTTGTAGCTTTGAGAGTGAGGTTGAATGTTTGAGGTGTTTATGCTTATCAAATGCAAATTTTGGTTGATTGATTTTTATCTGTTTTGATTGAATCTTTATGGAATCTCAACCAGTTAAGAAATATTGTTAACTTCTGGTTGAAATCGTTATGTTTTATATGAACTCCCAAATCATGGAACAAGTAGAAGGATGAAATATTTATCTACGGCTTGATCTCTTGAGAAGTTCCTTGGATCAACAATTTTTGTTAATACCAAATAATGTAGTGCGAATCATTTCATGGACCTTAAGAGTGATAGATGAGAGAGAGCTAAAAACTAGTAGGTAGGGAAGATGTATTATTCCATATCGATATAAGAATTTGGTAATGGTAGCTTCTCTTTAAATTTCATTGGAACATTTTGCAGGCCAAACTTGCTAAGCTACGGAGGGACCTTCTTGCACCGCCTACCAAAGGTGGCGGTGGTGGTGCTGGTGAAGGTTTTGATGTGACTAAAAGTGGAGATTCTAGAGTTGGACTTGTTGGCTTTCCTTCGGTTGGAAAATCTACGCTATTGAACAAGCTGACTGGGACATTTTCTGAGGTTTGTAGTTATTGTTAAGTATATTGAATTTCCTTTTTTTCTTGTTGCAATTGGAATTTTGAAACCTACCTACCACGTATCCAAGTGATCTTATTTCTAGTTATTTTTTGACAAAGTTCTTGTGCAATATCACTTATAAGGCAAGACTGATTGACGCTAGTCTTGTCTTGGATAGATGAACATAATGCTTGGAATTAGAATTGTACTTTGGCTGATACTCTATTTCTGAAGGCACATGCACTATGTTTTTTCAGGTTGCTTCTTATGAGTTCACGACTTTGACATGCATTCCTGGTGTTATTACATATCGTGGAGCTAAAATCCAGGTATGGTCTCTACATCTATGCCTCTGTTGTTTTTGTGGAGAAAAAAATGATAATTCTTGATCTTCCAATTGTTTCCTACGTCTTGGTAATTTGTGAAACACAACAAAATCCTTGGCTTTATATATGTCATGTCCTAGCCTGTAATTCTTTTGGTGCTTAGTTTAAGGTCAGAAAACGACCTGTAATTATTCATTGGACACTGATGCTAATACTCTTTTCTATGTCACCTTTTATGTGTTTGCAGTTATTAGATCTTCCTGGTATTATTGAGGGCGCTAAAGATGGAAAAGGTAGAGGAAGACAGGTAAGCCGAGTCTAAATCTCTTGACTATTTTATATTTTGACCCTCTTTAATCATGTTTGACACTTTACTATTTCCAGGTTATAAGTACTGCTAGGACATGTAACTGCATCTTAATAGTTCTTGATGCCATAAAACCAATTACTCACAAGCGTCTCATTGAGAAAGAGCTCGAAGGATTCGGAATAAGGTATAGATTGCTTATATAACAACCTTTATACACTGTATATTTGATCGTTTCTCGTAGATAGTCTGACTCGATCATGGACTGATGCTATGTAGGTTGAACAAGGAGCCACCAAATTTAACATTTAGGAAAAAAGACAAAGGTGGTATCAATCTAACTTCTACAGTCACTGTCACACACCTTGACCTCGACACGGTCAAGGCGATTTGCGGTGAGTACAGGATTCACAACGCTGATATCACCCTGCGCTATGATGCAACCGCTGATGACCTCATTGATGTCATCGAGGGCAGTCGGATATATATGCCCTGTATCTATGCTGTCAACAAGATCGATTCAATCACACTTGAGGAACTTGAAATTTTGGACAAACTTCCTCATTACTGTCCTGTCAGGTAAATGTTGTTAAGTTTCTGGGAGGGGATTGTCGATAAATATATTTATTTTTGCGATTGAGATATATAATAATCTTGCAGTGCGCATCTGGAGTGGAATCTTGATGGTCTTCTGGACAAGATATGGGAATACTTGGATCTAACTCGAATCTACACAAAACCGAAGGCAATGAATCCGGATTATGATGATCCCGTAATCTTATCTTCCAAGAAGAGAACAGTAGAGGACTTCTGCATCCGGATTCACAAAGACATGCTTAAACAATTCAAGTAGTAAGTAATTAAAAACTTATTATTGTTCTGTCTCTCTGTTATATGGCTTCTTGCTCAAAAGCATCGCTCATTAGTAGTACTTAACTTATGATCTCCTGATGCAGCGCTCTGGTTTGGGGTTCAAGTGCCAAACACAAGCCACAAAGAGTTGGAAAGGTTAGTCTTCCGGCAAATTAAACAAAAGTTTCCAAGACTTCTATACTAACTAACGATTGCAATATCCCTGACTAACTAACTATTGCTGTCATGACATTGTATTTTATGTATGGAAACACTTCAGGAACACGAGCTCGAGGATGAGGATGTTGTTCAGATCGTTAAAAAGATATGATTATTCCAGATAATGGAGAGAGTAAAGAGACCAATCAAAGTAGCCATAATGAGATCTCTCTATAAGGTTAGGATTTCTTTTGGTTTCTCAGCTTATCTTCTGTATTGTATTATTATATCCAGACGAAATCTGTCTGCACCCTTTTGTTTTTTTTTTGGTCTTATTGGAGATACTTTTGTCTTCTTCCAATTATATCATGTGATTGATGTTGTCGGAACCCCTCATTATTATCTCGAATATGGGTTTTGCCTGGATTTTCTCCTCCCTTGTTTTTATGAATGGAACTAGACTATTTTTTTTTTAAAATTCGATTCTAATACAAAATATAAAAATGCTACAATTTTTCTTCATGTGTATCAAAAAGAAAACTGTTAAAACGGCCTTCATTGCAGTGACCAGGTATAGGTGTTCTCTGACAGTTAGTTGTTTGTTTGTCATTAAATGTTAATTTAAAGATTATGGTTACTTGGACTGTTCATTAGATTTAATGACATTAAAAGACTTGGAAAACTATTACAACGACCTTCGTTGCAGTGACTGGGACCGTGAATTCTGATGTACTTCTCGATTTGTCTAACCTCTTAACTGTGTTGTCATTTTGTGCTGGAATTGTAAGATTATGGACCCTTCTTTTGAAATCGAAATCCTCCACCAATTCATTTGTGTGGTTAGTAGCTACACCAGCTTAACATTGTGCGGAGATAAAGGACTAATTTTAAGATATGAAATAAATGCATTGGTAACTTCTTTCTTTTCAAATAATTTTTTTTCTTTTTGGTTGCTTCTATTGTATATGTAATCACCGTACTCTACTTTATAAACAAGTTACTTCAACACACAAAGGAACCATCACCATATAGTGTCTGTAAAATCAAGCTCCTAACTTTCTCATATGGCTTCGATAAGCTTACTTGACGCTTCCATAGCCATTATTTGCTTTCTCTTCTTCCATTTCTTCATCTTCAAAAAACCTCATGATCAGGTTTTTCGGAACTGGCCAGTTATTGGGATGATTGGCTTCCTGATGGTTCTCCACCGCATGTACAACTTCGGTGTGGAGGCTCTCGAAATCAGCCACTTAACCTTTCCATTTAAGGGACCGTGGTTCGCTGGAATGGATATGTTGTTCACAGTTGATCCAGCTAATATTCACTACATCTTGAGCTCAAACTTCTCCAATTACACCAAAGGTGCCGACTTTAAAGAAGTCTTTGATGTTTTTGGAGAAATGATCTTTAGTTCGGACTCGGAGCTATGGAAGAATCAAAGAAAAGCTGCTCAGTTCATGCTTAACCATCACGAGTTTCAAAAGCTTTCAATGAGTGCAACGAGGACTAAACTTTACGACGGTCTTGTTCCTCTTTTCAATCAATATTGCGAGGAAGAGAAGGTCGTGGATTTGCAGCAAGTGTTTCAAAGGTTCACTTTTGACACAACTTTTTTTCTCGTTACGGGGTCTGATCCTAAATCTCTCTCTATTGAAATGCCGGAAGTTGAGTATGCTAAAGCTCTTGACGATCTTGGAGAAGGGATTTTTTATAGGCACATTAAACCGAAGTTCTTGTGGAAGCTGCAAAACCGGTTTGGGTTAGGACAAGAGAAGAGGATGACCGAAGCTGATGCCACTTTTGATCGCGTTTCAGCGAAATACATATCAGCTAAGAGAGAAGAGATAAGATCACAAGGGATTGATCATCATTCAAATGGTCAAAGTGAGGATCTTTTGACATCTCACATAAAGCTTGATACAACCAAGTACGAGCTCTTGAACCCGAGTGATGATAAGTTCCTCAGAGACACCATCTTAGCTTTCAATCTAGCTGGGAGAGACACAATGTCTTCTGCTCTCTCTTGGTTCTTTTGGCTTCTCTCTGAAAACCCTCAAGTTGTAACAAAGATTCGTAAAGAGATCATCAGCAAAAATATATCAAAAGACGGAAGAAATGGCCAAGAGAACTTAGACAAGTTGGTCTACTTACATGCCGCGTTGTATGAATCAATGAGGCTCTATCCACCGGTTGCCTTCCAACGCAAGTCTCCTATAAAACCAGATTTGCTTCCAAGTGGGCATAAGGTAGATGCAAACTCAGTCATCATAATCTTTCTTTACGGGTTGGGAAGGATGAGAGCGGTTTGGGGAGAAGATGCAACAGAGTTCAAGCCAGAGAGATGGGTTTCTGAGACCGGTGGGTTGAGACATGCGCCTTCCTTCAAGTTCTTATCGTTTAACGCCGGTCCGAGAACTTGTCCTGGTAAGCAATTAGCTATGACTCTAATGAAGACAGTAGTTGTGGAGATATTACAAAACTATGATATTAAGGTTATCAAAGGACAGAAGATTGAGCCAGAACCTGGTCTTATATTGCACATGAAGCATGGGCTTAAAGTCACAATTACTAAGAGATGTTCAGCTTGAAATTTATATATAACGCCTTAATTTATCCTTTTATCGTTGGAATTATAAGAAAGCCTCGTATTTTTCAATAATGAAACGAAACATGCTTTTTATCTTTGATGAGATGTTATATTTTGTAACGAATGCAAGTCGTTGTGGTAATGAAAATGTTTAATTATATATGTGAATCCACTCTAATGGCTTCAATAAGCTTAATTACCTTAATTAGATGATAAAGTTAGAAACGGGAAAAATGACAACTTTGAAAATACTAGAAAAGTTAAGTGTATAGATAATTTAATACTATTTTCTAATCTTATGTATACATCAACTATAGATAATTTATTACTATTTTCTAATCTTATGTATACATTAACTGTGCCTTGCAGTGTGTGCATATAACAAAATCTAGTGTATTTTAAGCAAAAATCCTTAATTGTTGTGCCTTGAAGTGTGTCATATAAATCCAGTTCCTTCTGCTAGTAAAGTACTACTAACCATCACAATGTATGTGTGTGTGTTAATCAAGCGCCTTACTCCAATGGCTTTACTAAGCTTTCTTGAAGCTTCCATAGCCATCTTTAGCTTTCTCATCCTTCTTTAATTTACTTCTTCAACAAAACAACTCATGGCCGGCTCCCTAGGAACTGGCCGGTTCTCGGTATGCTCCCCTGTCTGCTCGCGGTGCTCCGCCGGATCTATGACTATATCGTTGAGATTCTTGAAATCTCCGATTTGACATTTTCATTCAAGGGACCGCTGTTCGCTGGAATGGATATGTTGCTCACGGTTGATCCTGCTAACATTCATCATATAATGAACTCAAACTTCTCAAATTACATCAAAGGATCTGACTTCAAAGAAGTTTTTGATGTTTTTGGTGACGGAATTATCACCACAGACTCTGATCTATGGAAGAATCTGAGGAAGTCTTATCAAGCAATGCTCCATCATCAAGCGTTTCAAAAGTTTTCATTGAGTACCACAAGAAGTAAACTCATGGACGGGCTTGTTCCTCTTCTTAATCATTTTGCAGAGGAAGGAACAATTGTGGATTTGCAAGATGTGCTCGGGAGGTTCACTTTCGATACAGTCTTAATCCTTATAACCGGTTCTGATCCTAGATCTCTTTCCATTGAAATGCATGAGGATGAATTAGCTAAAGCTCTCGACGATGTTGCAGAAGGAATTTTGTTTAGGCATGTTAAACCAAAATTCTTGTGGAAGCTGCAGAAATGGATGGGATTGGGACACGAGAAGAAGATGACTGAAGCTAATGCAACTTTTGACCGTGTTTGCGCGAAATATATATCAGATAAGAGAGAAGAGATTATCAGATCACAAAGGTTTAATGATATTTCCTATGGAGAAAGTCATGAGGATCTTTTATCTTCCTTCATAAAGCTAGATACAACCAAGTACAAGCTCTTGAATTCGAGTGAAGATAAGTTCCTCAGAGACACTATTATGGCTTTCATTCTAGCGGGAAGAGATACAACTGCCTCTGCTCTCACTTGGTTCTTCTGGCTTCTCTCTGAAAGCCCTCAAGTGGTGACCAAGATTCTCCAAGAGATCATCAACATAAATCTATCAAAGAATGGAAATGGCCAAGAGAATTTAGACAAGTTGGTGTATTTACATGGTGTGTTGTGTGAAGCAATGAGACTCTATCCACCAGTTTCCTTTGGGCGCAAGTCTTCTATCAAATCAGATGTGCTTCCAAGTGGTCATAAAGTCGAAGCAAACTCTAAGATTATCATCTGCCTTAAAGCGTTGGGGAGGATGAGAGCGGTTTGGGGAGATGACGCATTGGAATTCAAGCCAGAGAGATGGGTTTCTGAGAAGGGAAGCTTAAGACATGAGCCCTCCTTCAAGTTCTTATCGTTTAATTCCGGTCCAAGAACTTGTCTAGGTAAACATTTAGCTATGACTCAAATGAAGATGGTGGCCATGGAGATATTACAAAACTATGACATTAAGGTTATTAAAGGGCAAAAGATTGAGCCAGTTCTTGGTTTTATATTGTCCATGAAGCATGGACTTAGGATCACAATTACTAAGAGGTGTCCATCTTGAAATTATATGAATAAATCTTTGTCTAGTTGTAATGTATTAATATAAAACATAACGAAATTTGAAATTTTATTTTATTGAATTGAACTTATTTTTCCTCACTCTTAGGGAGCATAAAGAAAGCATCTACTGAAAAAACAATCAAACCAAACATCTCTTAGTAACTGTGACTTTAAGACCATGCTTCATGTGGAGAATTACAGAAGGAGCTGGCTCGATTTGTTGCCCTTCAACGATCTTCATCTCATAATTCTGTATGATTTTCACAGCCACTGTCTTCATTTGCATCATAGCCACTTCTTTCCCCAAACAAGTTCTTGGACCAGCGTTAAACGATAAGAACTTATAAGATGGCTCGTGTACCGAATTTCCACTCTCAGAAATCCATCTCTCCGGTTTGAATTCCAATGCATCTTCTCCCCAAACCGATTTCATTCTCCCTAATGAGTAAAGACAGAACAAAATCTTCGAGTTGGCGTCGACTTTGTGTCCACTTGGAAGAACGTCTGGTTTTGTAGGAGACTTGTGTTGAAAGGGAACAGGTGGATAGAGTCTGAGGGCTTCACAAATCGCGCCGTGTAGATACACCAATTTCTTTAACTCTTGGGGATTGAATGAATCAGAGTCATTATTGTCAGAAGCATCAGCATTAACCTTGCTTCTTTGAAACAGATTTGTGTTTATTTCTTGACGAATCTTGGCAATGACTTCTGGGGTCTTAATGAGAAGCCAGAAGAACCAAGTGAGTCCAGATCCTGTCGTGTCTCGACCCGCTAACATGAAGGTCAAGATTGTGTCTCTGAGGAATCTTTCATCACTTGGATTCAGCAACTTGTACTTGGTCGTATCCAAATTCATGTAAGACGTCAGCAAATCTTTAGAATGAGAATCAACATTGTTAGTCCCACGGCTTACCTCATCTCTCTTTGTAGCTATGTACTTGGAGCAAACACGATCTAAAGTCGCGCGAGCTTTCGTCATCTTCTTCTCATCTCCTAACCCAAGCAAGCCTTGCAGCCTCCACAAGATCTCTGGTTTGATATGTCTGAAGAAAATAGCTTCCTCTGCATCGTCTAAAGCTCTTGCAAACTCGACTTCCGGCATTTCGACGGAGAGACAGCCTGGATCATACCCGGTCGCTAAAACAAATGTGGTGTCGAACGTGAATCTTTGGAACATGTCTTGCAAGTCCACAACGAGTTTCTCTTTAGCAACATGGTCAAGAAGTGGGACAAGCCCTTTCTCTAGCTTATTTGAGCTTGTAGCTAATGAAAACTTTTGAAACTCGGGATTCATCATCATGCTTTGAGCTGATTTCCTCAGATCTTTCCACAATTCCGAATCTGCATTGAAAATCCCGTCTCCCAAAATGTCGAATAACTTCTTGAATTCGGGTCCTTTCGGGTAGTTCGCGAAGTTTGAGCTCATGATGTGGTGGATATTAGCAGGATCAACCGTGACCAGCATGTCGAGGTTTGCGAAACACGGGCCTATGCAAGGATAGGTTAGATTTGTGACCTCGAGAATCTCGGTTATAAAGTCGTAAACACGATGGATCTCGACGAGCAAACCCGGAATCATACCAAGGAATGGCCAGTTTGTGGGGCACAGACGGTGAGGTTTCTTGTTGATCAAGAAATATCGGAAGAGGAGAAAACAAAAGAAAGCAATGGAGATTTCAAACAAGCTTATCAAAGCCATTAGAGATAGATTAAAAATGTATTTTTCTTCTTTTGAGATACACCAAATTGCAGCTTGTTGATGATACTTGATTTTGCTCTCATGTTGGATATATAAACCATTTCCTTTGTGCGTATTTGAGATATCGGTGATGTGTCTCTATCCTTTGAATAATCATAAAATGGAATTAAATCTTACTTTCTTTGGGATTATGTCCTCTTTTGTAATAAGTCTAAACATCCGTTGGAAACCAATGCATGTGACATATTATTACCTAATCAGTTATTTATTTTAACATAAATTTACATGAAATCAAAAATAACCACAAATAAATATCGGGTTACCTTATCTTTTATATAGATTTTCAAATAATCATGATACCTCTAAAACATCTGCAAGAATTTGTTTTGTTTGGAAGAAAAAAATTTACTACTATAATAGTTATTATTTTAATCTGGCTATTGTGGATATATATGCTTAGTTAGTTTAAAAGGTCAATAAATTGGTCTAAATCGTATCCCTATATCTCGTTTAAGATTATTCTTTTATAGAATACAATCAAATTTTATTAATCTAACTATATTAATTGAGACAAATATCTCTTCTTCTCAGATTTTTTGGAATCTGCAATGAATTGGTTAAATGCATTGACTAGTATTTATAGAATATACCATAACAAAGGAAGATTTTATATCTGTCATACCAAAAAAGAAAATGAACATTTAGATAAAATGTCATTAGTCAACTTTTCTTATCTTTCTAAAATTTTCAACATGATCTATATATAACGTGCAATAAACATTAATATATTTCGGCTAATCCCCTATATATTAATAGAGAAACATTTTTTTAAAAAAACCTTACTATCATGTGTTATTAACAAGATTGTCACGCTGATGTGTCGTTCTCACAATGATTTGGCTTCTATTTAGATAATTACCCAAAATTTATTAGACTATTTACCGAATTTGTCATTAGTCTCATACATCCATATATCTCATTAATAATTAAAAACATATACTTTTTGTTTATCTTATATTACTATATTTTTATATTTATATTTTTTTTATATACATTTATATAAAATTTCTTTAGCCGATGGGTAAACAATCTTTTTATTTATATTTATATTTAAATGATAAAATATATACAGTTGATTCAAGAATCTCGAATTCAAAACTACAAAATCTTTACATCTTTCATAATTTTTTTACTTGAATAAATAAGATAATCTCCTTTCTATATATGTTACGAATACTTAAAATATATACATTTGATTCAAGAATCTCGAATTCAAAACTACAAAATCTTAGCTTGGAAACTATCAAATCTCATCTTTGCTAAATTTTGGATTTCTTATACTTATTAAAAAAAAAAAATTCTTTTTATACTACAAAATCTCGAAATATTTAAAACATACGGAAAGACATATTGCCATAAATGGTAACATTTCGTCAATACTTTTTTATCACGTTGAAGCTTTATTCAAGGTTCAAATATTTCACGGGTAAAACATATTCTTATATGAAATCCCAAATTTGAATAAAACAAAAAAAAATTGTAACATGCATGTTTCGTTTTACACAAACGGATCTTGGATCCCGGATAATAATTTTAATCATAATAATTTTACTTGAATCACTTCATCCCGCACTATGTGCGGGTTGTTATCTAGTTTGTATTATATAACTTAAGTATAGGATTATATTTAATTCTACACTTACAATAAAAGAGGAAATTAGGGATTAGTATATTCTTAATAACATTTATATATTTTACTTGAATTTTAGAAATTATGTTTAACAATTATATTTTATTGGATGACTTTCAAGATGACTTGAGATTTCCTCATATCATATATAGGAGGGAGGATAAAGAAATCATCAACATCAACTGCCACAGTTTCTACTTTCTAGTTAAAACATTCAAGACCAACATCTTTTAGAGACTGTGACTTTAAGACCATGCTTCATGTGGAGAATAACCGAAGGAGCTGGCTTGATCTTGTGCCCTTCAACGACATTAATCTCATAGTTTTGTATGATTTTCACAGCCACTGTCTTCATTTGCATCATAGCCACTTCTTTCCCCAAACAAGTTCTTGGACCTGCGTTAAATGATAAGAACTTATAAGATGGCTCGTGTACCGATCTTCCACTCTCAGAAATCCATCTCTCCGGTTTGAATTCCAATGCATCTTCTCCCCAAACCGATTTCATTCTCCCTAATGAGTAAAGACAGAACAATATTTTCGAATTGGCTTTGACTTTGTGGCCGCTTGGAAGGACGTCGGGTTTAGTAGGAGACTTGTGGTTAAAGGGAACAGGTGGATAGAGCCTGAGAGCTTCACAAATTGCGCCGTGTAAATACACCAACTTCTTTATCCCTTGGGGATTGAATGAATCAGAATCATAAGAAACAGAACCGTCATTCTTGTTTCTTGGAAATAGATTTGTGTTGATTTCTTGACGAATCTTGGCCATGGCTTCTTGGTTTTTGCATAGAAGCCAGAAGAACCAAGTGAGCGCTGAGCCTGTCGTGTCTCTGCCAGCTAACATGAAGGACAGGATTGTGTCTCTAAGGAATCTGTCATCACTTGGATTCAACAACTTGTACTTAGTCGTGTCAACATTTAAAGAAGACATCAACAAATCATTAGAAGAAGAAGAACCGTCCCCTCGGTTGATCTCATCTCTCTTAGAAGCTATGCACTCAGAGCAAACACGATTGAAAACCGCGTGAGCTCTTTTCAGCTTCAACTCATCTCCAACCCCAATCAATCTTTGTATCTTCCACACCATCTCCGGCTTGACATGTCTGTAGAAAATGGCTTCCTCTGCATCGTCTAAAGCTCTTGCAAACTCGATTTCCGGCATTTCGACCGAGAGACAACCTGGATCATATCCGGTTGCTAAAACAAACGTAGTGTCAAACGTGAATCTTTGGAAAACATCTTGTAAGTCCACGACGAGTTTCTCTTTAGCAGCATGATCAAGAAGTGGAACAAGCCCTTTCTCTAGCTTACTCAAGCTTGTAGCTAATGAAAACCTTTGAAAATCGGGATCATTCATCATGCTTTGAGAAGATTTCCTTAGATCCTTCCACAACTCTGAATCCACGTTGAAAATCCCATCTCCCAAAACGTCAAATAACTTCTTGAATTCGGTTCCTTTCGGGTAATTCGCAAAGTTTGAGCTCATGATGTGGTGGATATTAGCAGGATCAACGGTGAACAACATGTCGATGCCCCCCAAAAAAGGTCCTTTGAAAAGATAGTTTAAGTTCCCGTCCTCAAGAACCTCAGTTATAAAGTCATAAACACGAGGGAGCTGGGGAAGTAAACCCGGAAGCATACCGAGGAGCGGCCAGTTTGTGAGAAATGAACGGTGCGGTTTCTTGCTGATCAGGAAAATTTGAAAGATAAGGAAACAAAAGAAAGCAATGGAGATTTCGAGTAAGCTGACCAAAGCCATTAGGGAGAAATTTGGGAGATTACACTAAGGCAAAGCTTGATTCTTATCTATGTTTTCATTCATACACTAAGGAGATATATATGAATATAACAAATCAGAAAGCGTCATATTATGTGTCCTAGATATATATTGGTTATTTGTCTTTATCGTTTCAATAATTATAACATGAGGGATCGGACCTTATCTTTGATGAGTATGTCCTCTTTTTGTTTGTTTGGTATTGTAGCTCTGTGGGAAGTCAAAACCTCTTTTGAAAACAATGGTCCACTGCATGCGACATATTACAATAATTAGTTATTTGTCCCAATAGAAGACAATTGTCCAGCTCCAAAAAAACTTTTTGAAGAAAGTAAATAGTACATTAGTTTAATTTTAATGGGCCAGTATATATTCTTAATTTACTGTGTATTCTTTTATGAAAAATAATAATAATTAAGTTACTTTTAAAAGTTCAGACTTATCATTATGGTTTATCACATTTTGAAGGGAATTTGCAGTAGATGTAAATTAATGCTATACGTTTATATTTAAGACAATAGCAAAAGTATTTTCAGTCCAAAATAAGTTGAAACGAGTTTTTGACTAATCTAGTTATTGAATGTTTTAATCATTTGCTTCTAGACCATCTACAAATATAGTAAATGATTTCTATATACACGAGAAGCCAAAAAAAAAAAAAAGGTTAGTTAGCTTTAACGGTGTATATAATGTCATTTTCTTATATTAATAGGTTTCACATATGTACTTGTTGTTACCATTAGAACTCATCAATCTGTATCTTTCGTATTAATTGATCTAAAAGGCAACAATAATTGAACACTCGGGATTTTGTGGCTGGTGGCGTTTGATACAGACATTTGTGATGTCTTTTGTACAGTACCTACCTTTGGGTTCTTGTCTACTTTGGCACATTGATTCAGGTTCCATGGTCCTTGGATAATGGGTTTTCTTATCTACTTCGGCACGTATGCATACGTTTTCCCCCTAAAAGATCTATAATGGGTCTACCTCTTTTGAGGCTAATGGGCTTAGGCCCTTTTTGGCCCAAATACAAAAACATAAATGTCAATTCTTCAGGAATATTATAAGGCCCTCGCAAAATGTGTTCGATCGGAGTACTTGCTCTCTGTTCGCCGGCTAAATTTCATCATCGCCGGGAACAATTGCTGATTTTTACTCCGACCCATTTGCGTAATCCTAATGGGTTTCAATTTCGGTGGAGAAAGTCCCGACCTTTCGCCCAATCCGTCAATTTCGCTCCGTCCTTTTCACAACTCCCTCTTATACGCTCTTCGACGTCTCTTCTTTCTTCCAAGGATTTCGTTCAGATTCTGGCGAGAAAAGCCGCCATTTTACTTGTTGGGTCGTTTGTCTTTCTAGGGTTCTGTTCTTCGAAACCTGCTTTAGCGTTACCCACTGCAACTGTCGTCTCTCAGGCAGAGTTAGAGGACGAGAAAATGTTCGAGAAGCTTCTGGAAAGTGAGCCAGAGAACATGGAGGCTATGAAGGCTGTTGTGTATAAGAAGATGAGGAGAGGGAAGAATGAAGATGCTGTGAAATATGTTGAGAAGCTGATGAAATTAGAGCCTCATGAAGTTGAATGGAAGCTTTTAGAAGCGCTTTGTTATGAAACGATGGGACAATTGAGCAAAGCTAAGAGATTGTATAAGGATATTCTCAAAGAACAACCTCTTTTGATCAGAGCTTTGCACGTATGTGTTTTCTCTAGGATTAGAGTCTTTTTATGAAACTGTGAATAATTGGATGTTTAGGAGAAATGGTGTTTTCTTTTGTTGGTAGGTAATAGAATGGTGCCTTGATTTCGATATTGCAGTATTCACTTTTGGTCTTGTCTTGTTTCTTGCAGGGTCTTGCTATGGTAATGCATAAGACTCATGACACCTCTGTCTTTGATATGCTCATGGAAGCTATGGAAGTTGCTCGACAAGGAAACCGAGTAACCGAGGAGAGAAACATACAAGTCTTGATTGGTCAAATGCATATTGTGCAGGTAAAACTGATCCTTAATTTCCTTCTTGTGTGTTTTGGATCTTCTGAACTATCTTTAAGTATGCATAGGAATAATGGATTGTGTTGTATGTACTTATGGACATTGGTTTAAAACCTCAGGGTCAATTTGAAGAAGGTCTAAAGATATTTCAACAGATGGTAAATGATAACCCTCGAGATTTTCGACCTTATCTTTGCCAGGTAAAGTTTATATATGAAAAGAATGATCTTTGATTCCCTAAAGTCATATCTCAGTTACCAAGTAAAAGGAATTTAGCTTTATCTTCTGCTATTCCGCTTGAAAGAAATTGCTGGTATTTGTTTCAGGGCATAGTCTATAGCTTAATGGATAAAAAAGAGGAAGCAGCTCAACAGTTTGAGAACTATTGGAGCCTTGTACCTGAAGAATTCCCACAAAAGGGATTTCTCGACGATGTTGCCTTGGCTGCTCAAGCCAAATCCCGAGAACGACTTCAAAACACATTCAAAGCTAAATTTACTCAGGGGAAATAAAATCATGGATCCAGGTGAGTAATTTCATCTTACTTGATGCTTCATCATCAGTTGGAAGTTTTCTTCTTGAGGTTTGCAGTGCCACTCATGTAATCACACTTTTGGTCATGTTGCAGCTACATGACATATGGTTATAAAGAATACCAGATATGAAATGTTAACAACCTGTGTCGGGTTAAAGAATAAACCGCTTTCGAGCAGGCAGTGTTTGTGGCTGCATTTAGAACCGAGTAGAAGGCGGTGTTTTTTTTTTTTTCAGTCATGTCAGTGATTTCTTTAAAGGTACATAAGCAGACATGAAAGGTTGCGACTTCCTTGTCATTCGTAGAAATACTATAGAACTGTTTCAATTTGGATATTTTTTTCAGTGTCTATTGGTCGTACCATTGTTGTTGATACATTTCTGATTTCTGATTGCACTAGATTCCCTAATTCTGGAGTGTTCTTTGCAGAAAAAGAAAACAACAATTGAATTTTTATGAGTAATAATGGTTTTTTGTTTGTTCATAAACTGAGGTAATTTGACGATTTAGGTAATTGATTTACTTCAATTATTCTTTTTTTATATTATTTGTTGGCAGATCCAGAGATGCTATTTTTTTAAATTATTATGGCGTGTAATTTGACAAAAAAGTATATTGTCTTATTACAACATCGACCAACTAAAGTATCCAATAAATAATTATCTTCCTAGTTCTAATTTCTTACCACGTTTTCTATGCAATCTACCTACTACCATTGACAAACTATACACGATCTACCTTATTAGAGCATCTCCAATGGTTGGTTCTTAACCTTGGATCTTAACAATTATTTACATTAAAATTTTCACTATTATTCTAAGCTAAGAACAAATGAAGAATATCTAAAAAAAAAAGTCCTCCAATGGTTAAGAACTTATTGGTTCTTAAGTTCAAAAAAAATTCAAATTTTGTATATAGATGTCTTTCACTACAAGAATCCATATATACAAGCATTTATGCAGTCATAGAAAGAAGTAGAAGATGTACAAGCATTCATTCATTTTAGCTTTGGTTCCCATTTTTATAAATATGTTTTGGTTCCTTTTAGGTTATAATTAACGTATACATATATTTACACAAGAAATTGATGACGGGCTTTTTATAGGGCTAGTGGATCGTTATAGGCCCATTTGGATTAAGACATAACTCTGTAAATAGAAGAAGAGGAAGCTTCTTCTTCTAATCCCCTAGCGGAGAAACTTTGGGAAGAGCCAAAGAACTCGGGACTCTCTCTCTCTCTCTCTCTCTCTCTCTCTTGCTTACAACACTTCGCGCTTCTCTTACTGTAATCTCTCTAATGCCACAGTCACTACATTTATGAGCTTTTGTCTGTATGTATGATGTTTTGTATAGTTGTTCTTCACTTGTTTGGTTGCGATTTCTTTTTTTTTTCTTTTTCTTTTTGGTGAATTTTGCGTTTCGCTGTAAAGAAAGATAATGAGTGAAGTTGATTTGGTGAAATTAGGCTCATGGCTCCTCTTACTCTCTCTGTTGATGTGAAGAGCTCTTCAGCCACTTCTCCTGGTAAATTCTCTTTGTCTGTCTTCATTATTGACTCTGTGACTCCTTTTCTTCAATTCTTTTGCGTATTGGTTTGTGGTTTGATACAAAAAGTGATGTCTTTGTTGGGATCTATATATATATACTCCATTGATGATGGAGATAAATGTTTTGTTTTTGCAGATGTTTTCAAGAGGGTAATGCAGAGTCCACAGCTCAAAATGAGCAAAGGATTTTTTGCATCTGTTAATACGCAAGAAGATAAACCCTTTGATTTCTTCCGCACTCTCTTTGGTTTGTGTATATTTTGCCTTTTGATCCATTTGCAATTTTTGTTTTTAATGGGCAGCTTTCAGGTGTCTTTGTTATTCTTATGTTTTGGTTTTGATGATGCAGAGGGATTTATAGCAGGAGGTACAGCTGGAGTTGTAGTTGAAACAGCTTTATACCCAATTGATACTATTAAGACTAGACTTCAGGCAGGTCAACCAACTTACAAATATTTATTTCTTTGTTAGACATTCTTTTAACTGTATGCAATTAGCTCCTGTAGTCCTTTTGGTTTAAACGAAACAAAATAGAAAAAAGTGTTGAACGTTAGTTCCTAAACTAGTTTGATCTTATGATGTAGGCAGCTCGTGGAGGTGGGAAAATTGTTTTGAAGGGTCTTTATTCAGGATTAGCTGGAAATATTGCTGGTGTCTTACCGTAAGTGACTGTGATCTCACAGAGCTCATCCGTATTGTTAATTCAGAGTCTAAATGGCGAGAGCCCTAAGAAAATAGATACTACTGACAAAGTTATTTCCTTGTCCCTTCTATTTCTTCTATTTTTATACTTGGTTCCTTCTTTGTAGGGCGTCGGCTTTATTTGTTGGAGTTTATGAACCCACAAAGCAGAAACTGCTAAAGACCTTCCCTGATCATTTAAGCGCAGTTGCTCACCTGGTGAGAAATTTTCTCAATCTTTAGTTTGGCCATGGAAAAAGTAGTTTATTAGTCTCTGCTATCACTAAATGATCAGGTCGTGATTATGTCAGTAAATGAATGGTATAAATTAAGCAACAATATTCTTTTTAGATCTTTGAATTGTTTCTCGCATATTCCTTGAATTCAAGGGTGAAAAGGAACAATTTGTTTCAAATTGCAGACAGCAGGGGCCATCGGTGGACTTGCTGCCTCTCTGATTCGAGTGCCTACAGAGGTAAATGAGAACGCTCTCTTGTATATCACAATCCAGACCATGTTCTACTTACGATCCCTCAATCGACATTTCTGTGTATGTATTCATTAGGTTGTGAAGCAGAGAATGCAGACCGGACAGTTTACATCAGCCCCCAATGCTGTTCGACTTATTGCATCAAAAGAGGGATTTAGGGGTCTTTATGCAGTTAGTAACACGTTTATTAGCTCCTTCTTTAAGTCTGCACTTTTTTGTTGAAATTTCATGTGGTAACTTATTTCATTTGCTTCTAGGGCTATCGGTCCTTCCTTTTGCGAGATTTGCCGTTTGATGCTATACAGTTCTGCATATATGAGCAGCTATGCTTGGGGTATAAAAAAGCAGTAAGTCTCTTTGTAAAATAATTGACATTTCTTCTATCTGTAATATCTTGAACAAGGCATCGGAAAAAAAAAAAAAACGCATGGTAACTTCTGATGTTCTGATATTTGGCAGGCGCGTAGAGACCTTAGTGATCCTGAGAACGCTCTAATCGGTGCCTTTGCTGGTTGGTGACATACCTTACATGCTTTAATAGGATATTGATATTCTTCTGATCCATAAAATCAAACCTGATGAGATTTAAGCCGCTGAACATTAAAAAAGATTGTGGTCTTCATTTACCTTAACATTGCACAGTACAATGGAGTAATAACATGGAAAACCAGTTATCATAGATGTATATGGCATTACTCCATTGCACAGTACAATGGAGTAATAACATGGAAAACCAGTTATCATAGATGTATATGGCATTACTTAATGAGTGGTGCTTTGATATCGTCGTTGTTTATGCAGGTGCTCTGACCGGAGCAGTCACCACTCCGCTTGATGTCATTAAGACAAGATTAATGGTTCAGGTAATAATAGTATTCTCACACTTTAGAAGTCTCCCTTTGTATCTCCAAAATCCAATCATCTTATTGTCCTTCTTTGACATTTTTCAGGGATCAGCCAAACAATATCAAGGAATCGTTGACTGTGTTCAAACAATTGTAAGAGAGGAAGGAGCTCCAGCTCTCTTAAAGGTACACACACACACAACTTGAAGGTTTCACTAAGCAGCTTTAAGAGTAGAGTTCTTACACGAGATTTGACTTAATAGGGTATTGGGCCAAGAGTGTTGTGGATAGGTATTGGAGGTTCAATCTTCTTTGGTGTCCTCGAGAGCACTAAGAGAACACTTGCACAGAGACGTCCCAATACGGTCAAAGAAACCAAAGAGGAATAAGTGTCTGGCCGAACAAGAAAATGAGTGAAAGTTGATAATGTTTCACATTCAACCCCCTTTGTGAGTTCTACCAATGTGTTTGTTTAAGTACCAATGACCAATTCAACAACTTTTTTCATTAAATAAAAATATTGTTCATTTCAGATTATGTCATTTCTTGATTATATTTGACATTTGAAATTAGCTTCTTTGTTGCAGTTTCTATCATATCCTTTATTTTTAGTTACTTTCATCATCTCTGTTGGGCACAACAACTGCTCCAATAAATCTTCTAATTCCGTGCGTGATTATGCCCACCCACCCGCACCCATGGCGCGTGAACTCCACCGCATCAAAATCTCTGGGATTTTTTCGAATTTTTGAGAAAGAAAGCGCGTGAGGAGCTTATGTGACGGGGACCGTCGTTGCTTTCTTCGTTTTGTCTATTTTGTTTTAAAAAAAAACAGATGATCAATTAAAAACTCCTCCCGATCAAAAATTACAAATGACATTTAACATATTGCACATCTGACTCTGTTAAACTTAAACATGAAATATATTCATTGGAAGCAAATCAACAAACAATAAAGCTTACGAAACTGTTCAACAATGCAATTCTATTTACAAGAACAACTTATACCGAAGACAGTTATTACACTGTACACTGTATTCTCTCTCTCTCTATCTCTCAAGACTGCCATTTAATAATAGCCGGGACAAAAAAATTACAAGGAGAAAAAGAAAAAATAGAAGAATTGTCAGAGCCAACAACAAAACACAGACAAATACTAAACCCTATAAAAAAGACTCAAGTTTGTGTCTCTTCCACAACACCAAAAATCTATCAATCGAAAACCCCTTTTCCAATTTCTTCGGCTAATTTACAGCCCCACCGACCTCTCACAACGATGAAGCAGAGAGAGAGAGAGATACTTAACATTGCATACTTTGAGATGATCTCTGAGTTCACTCACTCACATGAGTGGTAAGTATCCTCCTCCATGTCCTTTCTTTAGTACAAGTGGTCCACCATTTTCCGGGACCTTATCCAACGCATTCATACACCCATCTACCATGTCAGCGAATCCCGTTGCTGTTGTAGCAAGCTGTAACCGTAACCTCAAATCCCGTGTTCTCTTCAACAAACACCTGAATGATCTCCACATGTATTTGGCCCACTCAGCTGGTAAGCCTCCTCCTGTGAGCCAGACTGAGAACTGAGACTGGTCTCCCCTAGCTGCCATTTCCGCTCTGTAGAATCTAGCCAGTTCCAGAAGCATTGAAGCCTGTAGGGGAAGCACCGCTACAAATTCAGCCACAAAATCTTCCGCTAGTTCGGGTTTGAGCATCAGATTCCAAAGCACAAGCGCCCATTCGCTTGGCTGGTTAAGACCATAAGCTTCTGCTACAATCAGAGCCTCCTGGAAACGGGATTGATCAACAAGTGCTCTTCTGGCGTTTGTTTCAGATAAACAGAG